GGGAAGCAGACAGCTGGAGGTCAGGACGTTTTGCAGGGCTGGGAGGGAGATGCCAAGCCAGGGGCAGCAGCCTCCACTGGGATGCAAGTGTTGGACAGGGTTGGATGTGACCATTTGGATGGCAGACAGAACAAACAAGGAACCTGGCAGCTTTTGGGGAAATCTGAACGGGACGTTTTGTCCCATGCCCTGCATTTCTGGCTGACTTGGTCCCTGATATGAAGTTTCCTTCACCAGCAGTTCTTGCAGCAAGGAACGAAAATTTTCAGAGGGGGAAGACAAGCCCTGCAGAGGAGACTCCTGATCCCAGATAAACCTAAACAACTGATGGATGTGCAGTGCACCCTAATCTGTTCGAATCTGGGCTTATTTTTGTGCAGTGGTAAAGTGATTCTGCATCAGGGATTTAAATGCTGCAAAGGGATGTGTAAATGTTTGGGAAAAAAATCAGGAAATAATCTCAACACTCTTCATTAGAACTAAAACCAGGCCTGGGAAGGTGTTATGTCCTTTACCCATTCCAAAAACATCTCAGGAGTATTTGCCAGGCAGAGCAGAGCTCTGATTTGTATGAGAAATGCCTGACTCACAGATCTTGGCACACAATTATCAAAGATTAAGATATTTAAAATCTAGAGGCATTTGAAACCAAAATATTGCTCTGACCCAGCTCTAACACCTAAATAAACAGTGACCACACTGGCCTTTTACAGGAACAAGTGCTCAGTGCTCAGCCAGCACCTCTGATAATAGGGCCTCATGGTTTGGGTTCTGCCAAACTGCTGAGGTTTCATGGAAGAAAAAAAACCCCAAAAATATTTAGATACAATTCCAAAAGAGTCTGATCATCACATCTTCAAATTGGCAGCTCTCCTGCTGTTGCTTTACCTACACCCAAGTAAACTCCTCATATTGCTCAATTCCAAGTCAGCAACAGTTTCCTGGAAAGGCCAGATCTTAAATAAGTCTCAAATAAGTGAAGTTTCCCCGGCTCTGTGCGCTTTGAACATCCACACACAGCCCACCACAAAATGTAAAGGTCGAATTACACCTTCCTGGGCCTCCAGGGCCACACCTCCGGGCTGGGCGCTGCCGAGGGCCGGGGGCTGGGCCGGTGCCTCCCCATTGTACAGAGCACGCTAAGGCAGGATGCTGCCGCCGGCCAGGATGTGATTCAGCGTCCTGTTTTGAACGCTTCGTGAAGTCAGCAACTTCTGCCCCGAGAGCTCCCACCAGCTCCCCGGGAGGGACACAATCCGTCTGCAGCCAGCAGGGCTTGTCAAGGCTGTAATGAGCTGCTGTCCCCACAAATAAATGCCCAAGGCAGCTGCCCCCGTGTTCCCCCTGCCCTGCCTGGCACCATGGACATAACTGTGGGTACAAGGTGTTCATCAGTGCTGCTCCAGCAAAACGTGCTCCTAAATCCCTAAAGAAATTAAGGATCAAGGTGTTAAAAGATCATTTTGGTGCACTAAAATATAATAGACATTGAATGTAAATCAAGTGTATAAAATATATACATATGTGATATAAGATACAATGGTGTCCTGTGGTGTGTGCCAGAGGGATATCATGGAATTATTTAAGTTGGAAAAGACTTCCAAGATCAAGTCCTGCTGTTCCTGCAGCTTTGCCAAGGCCACCACTAAACAATGTCCCCAAGTGCCACATCCACAGAGCTTTTCAATTCCTCCAGGGATGAGGAGTCCATCACTGCCCTGGGAACCCTGTTCCAATGCTTGACAACTCCTTCCATGAAGGAATTTTCCCTGATACCCAATCTAAAGCTGCAGTTGCTCTGTTAAGAGTTTGTCTGCACCAATGACTCCTCCTGTTGATCACTGATATGCAAATATACACAAGCCCTACCCTGAAAACCTCTACCTCCCACAGCTGCTCTTAAAATTTGGTTTAGAGAAGCCAAACAAGAACAATTCTTTCCATAACCATCTTCAGGCTTGATCAGAGCCTGGAGATAACCAGCTTCCAGGCCTTCTGCAGTGGTTCAACCTCTATCTCTGCAGAAGATGCCTGAAAACACTCACCCAGCCCTGCATTCAGGCTGTGATTGAAAAGCCAATAATGGCAAAGATTACAGAATGACTGGCTAAACAAACCTATTTATATTTGTAATTAAAACCAGTGATTATCTTGCTGTGTTTGCCAACCACATCTGAGAATCAGCCAACACTCACAGAGCGATCTGGGTTGTGCAACAACTCCTCTGCCCCGCTGTGACAGAGCCAGCACACGGCCAGGACTGAGAATCAACTGGGTCACAGCAAAAAGGAAAAACTGCACAGCAGGCAGCTGGGAAAGAGCTGGGCTCTGCTCTGCCTCCTCCTTGATAGCATCTCCTCAGGGTTTGCTCTGCAGAGCAGGATCTGGGGCTGAGATAAGGCCACAGGCACGAGGCTCGCGCGGAACTCGATCTCAGAGAACTCAGGGCTGTGTTCAAGCCTAGGCTCACACATCCTGCCATGGCCTTGGCCCAGCCCTGACAGCAGTTTTACAGAGGTTTGGGTGAGCTGGGGGTGCACTGCACCAGCAGGGGAAAAAAGGGATCAAGCCACAGCATCTCCCTGATGGTTCTCCAGGAGGGAACGTTTGAGCAGACACTGATAACACAGCTCAGACGTGCAGCTCCTGGCTCCACTGGCCTCTCAGGTCTCTTATTTTTCCTTCTGCTCTGAGTCTTTGCCCTCAGGGAGCAATACAAACTCCTGGCTGCCTGCTGCCTGGAGCAGTGTGGATGTTACGTTGCCAAAACTTCCACAAAATTTTGGTAACAGAGCTAAAAGCAGATTAATGCCTAAGAAAATGCAGATAGCAGCAATATCTTTGAACCTACAGTCCCCTTGCTCTGTTCTGGGGTAGAAGCTGTTCCAGGGAGAAAGAAAAGCATTTTGGAATGACAGAAACCATAAGGAAGGATGACCAGGGAGCAGCAAGACATGGCTGGGTGCAACACCACGATACAGACCTGTTCCTCCAAGAAAACAATCAGATGGCTCAAGGAACCAGATCCAACTATGCAACCTCAAATGAAAACCCCAGAATGTTTTGGAACGAACAAAAATAATTGTTCAGCAGGCAGAGGAATACATGATGTCAGAAATGTGTACTAGCACAGCCATCCTGCATTGATGAAACACAGCTTGAGCTGGCAGCACACTGGGGACGTGTTTCCAACAATCCTTCCTTTCCCTTCACCCTTGGATCTCCAAAGTCTGCAGAGCCAGGGGCTGGACTGCTGACCCCTGTGCTCAGGGCACGTGTGACAAAGCCCAGCTGTCACCAAGGCTAGACCAGGACTGAAAGAGGCACAAACACCAGCACAGCCCATCCTGCAGGGATTTTTCAGAGCACAATGAAGTTGAACAACTCTGCCACCCCCTGGGCACCGGGCAGAGTCTCAGCAGATGGAAGCAGGGCAGGGAAGGGGACAGGATAAACCCACCAAACCAACAGGAGCTCCATTCATCATCTGTGTTATGTCTGCATATTTCCTGCAGCTCTTGGCAGTGTTTCTCCCTGAGGACAGCAGAGGCTGTGCATGAGAGCCATCTGATTCTCCAGCTCTGTCTGGCTATTTAATTACCAGATTCTTATCCTGACAATCGTATACGGAAGAGCAGCCCCAGGAGACTGGAGGACAGAGGAAGCTCATGGGATCTCAGTGTCCAACGTCAGGGCTGCAGCATTTTTCAACAGCCAGGAGAAAAGCAGCAGCCTTTAAGCCTGGTCTAAGTGCATCCACACTCCTGGTGGCTCTGGTCAGGGGTGCATGACAGACAGACCAAAGGTGTCTCACCAGGATTTGTCTGTACAGTGACAACATTTGAGGGAAGAGGATAAAGCTGTATTTTCTCTTTCAGCACACAACTGTATACCCAAAGGAGGAGGCTGCCATCCTGCTTGGTTACATGTAACTGTTTAATACCACATGGGGAAAAGCACAAGAATTAAGGTTCTGTGGCTGTTCATGCTCCTGCTGGGACCTTGCATTGTACAAGGAGCAGAACAAGGAACCCTGAATTTTGATTTCATCAATACAAAATCCATTCCCCACAGGGTCAGCTCTCAAATGGCATTACAGACAGCCATGAAATGCTCATACACACAGGAGAGCACACAGAGCAGACACACAGCACTTCTGTCCTGTCTGCAGCCCATGTGTGTGCACACAGGACAGCCATGGAATTCCAGGCCTCCCAGGCAGGCTGCAGCCAGGAGACACCATCCCAAAACTCAGAAACAAAAAACTCCAACAATTTCTTTCTCTGTTCATGAGCTGTCCTGCTTTCTGCTCTCTGACTTCACTTGCTTTGCTTTTCCTGAAGCCAGGATAAGGAAAGCAGGAAGGAGGGACAAGGAGAAGAGACTGAGTGCTGAACCACTGCTGTGGTTTACAGGTTAGAGGGGAAGAGCTGCCTGCAAGAGCCAGGCTTGGAGTGAGCCATCCACAGCATTACTCAGAGCCCATTAGCCAGGGCCCTGGCACATGAGCTTGTGTCACCACTTTGGATCTGCACAATGTCAGCAAGAGGAGCCTCTCTCTTCTCTGGCAGGACAGCTCAGCCCTTTCTTACCCTCACATGAACACAGTGGCTCTGCATGACCCCAAGGAGGCAAATTCCTGGTAGGTAATAGCCAGGAATGAGCAGAGTTCTCCTCCAGGAGCAGAGCCCCTTCCTGAGTGGAGCCCCAGCAGAGCCAGAGATGCTGTGATAACACCAAAGTGCAGTGGCCAAAGCTGACCAGGAATTTTCCAGTGTCTTCTCAGGAGGTGAAAAAAGGATCACAAACTCTTTTGTTCTTTCATTTTGTTCAATGCTCATCTTAAAACTGATGAGGGAGAGAGCATCCCCAGGTTCAGCTCTCTGCAAAAACACCTGGAGGGGATCCTCTAGGCAAGGGGATCTCTGCAGGGTCAGGACTCAGATGCTGGGCAGACAATTAACAACAGTGCAAACTTAGAGCCCCAAAGTTCAGCTTACCTCACATTCAGTCTACGCTCCTCATCACTGCCAGCCTCTGCCTGAGGGGAGGAAAAGACACAAGAGTTACAGGTTGGTTATTTTAAATAAAATAAATAAAACCCCTGCACCAACAGGGTGTGAGGGGCTGTTTCCTGCAGGGTTTTTCCTCCTGGGGCCAGGGATAAATGAGATGACACTCCCTAGTCCTGTATGGCACCAGCACCCGGCGCCGGGTGACAAAGGGGCTCAGGGGGATTTTCAGGCTATTAGGTTCTAATCCTGCAAGCTGGTCCTGGAGCACAGGGCGCTGTGGGGAGCGCCAGCCCCGACGTCAGCGGCGCGCACCGCGCTGCCACCGCACAGCGCACACGTGAGGGCAGCAGCTGGCAGCCACAAATAACCAACACTGGGGTGTCCCAAGCACCAGGACACGGCCAAAAGTGCTCCCTGGGGCTGTCCCTGATGTGCAGCTCCAGGGATCACACTGGCAGGACAAGGTTCCACCTCCACCTGGTGCTGGCACACGTGTCCCCACGCTGGGACAATGCGCGTCCTCTGCTGTCGCAGACATCTTTTATGAAAAATCTTTTCTTTAGGATTTTTCCTCCTGAGGAGCTGAGAGGCCTCAGGAACAAAGTGTAAGCATTGATTATCTGCTGCTGTGGGATGCAACAAGTAGATCTTTGATTAGCTTATGTTAGTTGTTTCTAATTAATAGCTAATCACAGCTCAGCTGGCTCAGACAGAGAGCCCGAGCCACAAGCTTTTATTATCATTCCTTATTATTCTATTCTTAGCCAGCTTTCTGAGGAAATTTTTTCTTCTATTCTTTTAATATAGTTTTAATGTAATATATATAATAAAATAATAAATCAAGCCTTGTGAAACATAGAGTCAAGTCCTTGTTTCTTCTCTCAACCTGAGAGCCCTGTGAACACCGTCACACTCTGCCTGCTGCCCTCCTGGGGAACATGCTACTTTGGTGGAAGGAGTGGATCAAAATTGGCACTTTTGCACCAGGCTCTTGTGGAAAGCCCTCCTTGAAGCAAACCTGGCTGCTCAGGTGACACTACACTTTATTGAGTCTCCTCAAAAGAGAAGTGTGACCTCAGCCTGCTTCCAAACCCAAGCATTTTCACAGAGTCACGCTTTGCAGTCATCCCCTTCAAGTTCTCCAGTAGCTTTTAGACAAAATTCCTTATCAGAGAAAAGCAGAGTTGGGGTTAATTGCATCCAGAGCTGACTAAAAAGAAAGTCAAAAAAACCAAGACAACAGGCCCTGAGATAGTTCTGCTTTGGTCCTGTGTGAGTGCAGAGGAGAAAGGGCCGGGAGCATCCCCTGGAGAGCAGGGCTGGGCTGGGAGAAGATTTGGGCCCAAAAAGCAAAGCAGGGACTTGACATGAAATCCTTCACACTCACAACACACCTGATCCTGACAAAGCTGGGGGGACACAAGCCTTGCAGGAATCAGGCTCCTGATTCTTGGGGAACATCCTGGTTGCTCAGAACCCACAAATAAAGGATTCAAATAAAGGTCCCTGTAAGAGTTACTTGTTTCCAGGTGGTTTTGTACAAGTTTTGCACCATTTCAAATGTTCAAGACTGGAGCTTTGGAGGGATGAAGGGACCTGGATCACTCCCCATCCTCTCAAGTCAGGATTTGGGAGGCTGGAGGGCACAGGAGCTGCTCTGCAGACAATCTGTGAGAACCAAGGAAAGCCAGGGGGAAAAAATCCTGCAAATGCAAGAGCAGAGGCCGGATATTGGAGCTGTGGCCTCTGGAGGAGGGGAGATGCACAATTCTGTCCCGACTGACCCAGCAGAGGGTGAGGAGCATACCACGGCTATTTTTAGTCTGTTTACAGTGCAGAGCTGGGCTGCAGGCAGGGCCCCAGAGCACCCCAAGCCCCAGTGCCCCCTCTGGCAGATCCCCCAGCCCTGGGAAGGTCTGGAGGTCTGGCAGGTTTGGGACCTTTGCAGGGTCACCCTCCTGTTTGTTTGGGGCCGTCACGTAGCAACAAAGGGGAGAAAAACTTTTTTTCCCTTTTTAAACAAACGTGACTGTGAGGATGACGACTCTGGGATGTCGTCAGCTGGGGCTCAGCAGCAGGGCTGGGCCTGGAGCTGCTGTGGGCTCCTCTCTGCAGCAGCTGAGCTGTTCCCAAAGCTGACTTTCCCTGTGTTTTCTATAAAAACTGCAGGAAACAAAGTGAGGCAGCAGCAAGGCTGAGCCCTCCTGGCCTGTCCTGTGCTGCTCAGAGCACCCCTGGGAGCTGGCAGGGTTTGGGGGGCACCACACACGGTGGAGATGCTCTGGAGCTGCTCATCCACCATGGGCAGACCCTCCCTGGGGCCTGTGCTGAGCGTGGCCACTCTGAAGGACCAGGGCAGTGGGAGTGAGTGCAAGGGAGATGCACGAGCAGGGCAAGCTTGCACGTGTGTGTGAACCACTCTCACCTAAGAGTTTATGGCTCACTATGCCGAGGCAGCAGCACCCATTTTATTCCTCTAAAATCCTAAATTCCTCTGGGCTCCTGAGTTGGGAGAGGCCACAGTAGCACAGCCACAATTAGCAAGGATGTGTGGCCATCATTTCCCATTAAAATATCTTCTAGTAATTATTCAGCTAAAAGCCCCAATGAACCCTGATTTTCCTTGCAAGAAAGATCCTAAAGGAACAGGAGCAGGCTGGCAGTTTTTATAGGATTTTTCTTTAAATTAACTTTGCAAAAAACAACATGCTGAATCTGGAAAAACAATCTGGAAATCATTTTATTCCATGCCAGAAGAGCCCATTCTATCAGGACTCAGTGCCTTCTTTTGGGAGCCACCACAGCACAGCAGAGCTGTGGGTGCTGCTGAAATGCCCTGCCATGGACAACACCTGGTGGGCACCATTTTTAGGAGGAAAAAGGAGAATTATATGTTCACCCCACAGAAAATACAATCCCCAGCAGCAGCTCTGCCACAAAGCAATGCCTAAGACAGATGTACATGGCAAGGCCTGCTTTGCCTCCTCTCCCACCTGCACCAGTTAAATCCAGTCTAATTCCACTGCCTGCTCTGGGGTTACAGCTCATTTTCATCTCTCTAGACTAGGTCTTGTTTAAGACTCTGTCTAAACCAGACCCCACAAAATTCCTTCTGAAAACTCCTTCAAAAAGTGCAGCTCACATCTCCAAGCTCCACAGCTGGCACACAGCATGGCCCAAACTGGGTCCCTGCAGCCAGGGACCCCCCTGCAGCCCCTGGGGCCAGGGAGAACCTGGGAGCTTTGTGGCTCCCCCCTCTGCTCCCCCCTCAGCCCAGCTAATCGGGGGAGTCACAGGGACCTGACAGGTGACAAATAGGATTGTTTACCTGGCAGGAGAGGGGACAGAGCGAAGCCAAGGGCAGTGAACACCAAAGGAAAGAAGTGTGGGGGGAGAGGATGTGCAGGGAAACAGCAGGCCTGTCTTTGAGGGTCACAGAGGAGATAGGTTAGGAGGGAAAAAGGTGAGAAGAAAGAGAAGCTGGAGGTGCAGCTGTTTGGATGGCGTGTGGGAGCTGTGTGGGGGGAAGCAGAAGGCCAAGGCTGGGCAGAGGTAGGAGAGGCCATTTCTGGGGCACAGGAGGGGAGGAGGTGTGCAGCAGAGCTGGGACACACAGTGCCAGGCCAGCAGGACACGGATGGCACCGTGGGGGAGGTGAAGTGGCAGGTGCAGGTCCTGCAGCAGCAGAGCTGGGGGAAGGAGAGGGCAGCAGCATGGTGGAGGTGTGAGGAGTGGCACAGGGGTGGATGGGAGCTGCTCCTGGAGAACTGACAATGGTCACTTTGGGCAGGAGCTGCAGCAGATATGGGGAAAGGTGGTGCCATGGACAGAGGGATAACACAGGGCAAAGCAGAGCATCCCTGGGGCAGGAGGTGCTGGCAGCTCGGAGATGCCAAGCAGGGACAAGGGCCAGCACAGCTGCTCCATGCAGACAGGCCCAGCACTCTGCCCAGAGATTTACCTGCCATGAGAGGGGTGAAGCAGGCTGCCCCAGGCTCCCTGCCAGCTGAGGGCTGGAATGGGGGACAGCCACAGGGGAATGGGGCTGTGTGTGAGGGGATGGCAGCACAGAGCCAGGCCTGGCTCAGCCTGGCAGCATCAAAAGGCTGGGCAGTATAGGGGGCTATGAGAGAGGACTGGGATGGCGGGGGCTGAGAGGGGCTGAGCTGGGCTGGGAACTGGTGGGGGTTGTGAGGCTCAGGGCCATGGGGGCTGAAAGGGAAGGAAGGGGCTATGGGGGAGCAGGGGGCTGTAGGGCTGGGAGCCATGAGGGACCAGCGCCTGTGAAGGGCCTGAAAGCAGGGGCTGGGGAGCCTGTGAGCGGCTGAGCCGGTGCCAGGGGGCTGTCGGAGGTCAGGCCATGGGAATGCGGGGGGATGAGGACAAGGAACAAGTGGCTGCGGAGGGCCAAGGGGGTGGAATCAGGGGCTGGAAGGGGAAAGCTGTGAAGGGCCAGAGCCGTGAGGCCGGGACCATGAGGGTGATGGAGCCAGGAGCTCTGGGTTATGAGATGCTGGGGGGGGCTGCAGGGGCCTGGCCCCGAGCGGGGCCTCACCCCGCCCCTCCCCGCTCCCCATCCGCCGCCGCCGCCGCTCCCGGGGCTCACCCTCCCGTTCCCTCCCCGTGCCTGCCCATGCCGTCCCCGCTCACCTCGCTCGTGCTGGCCGAGGAGGCGGCGCTGGGGGTCGGCGAGCGCTGCAGGGTGACCAGCGCCATGGCTGCAGCTGCGGGGCTGCGGCCGCCTCCCCCTCACGCCGGGAAGGGGCGGGCGCGGGGCGGCGCCTGCGAGGGAAAGGGCGGGGGCTGGAATGGGAGGAGCTTCCCTCGATGGGCGTGGCTCATTTGCGGGGATGGGCGGGGCTTGTTTTGGTGGGCGGGGCCTCCCGGCCCATCCCGCCCCCAATATCCCATTCCATGGCAGGGACACCTTCCACTATCCCAGGTTGATCCAAAGCCCCTCCGACCGGGCCTGGGACACTTTCAGGGATGAGGCAGCCACAGCTTCTCTAGGCAGCCTGAGCCAGGGCCTGCCCAGCCTCACAGGGAGGAATTTCTTCCCAATATCCCATCTAACCCTGCCTCTGGCAGTGGGAAGCCATACCCCGTTGTCCTGTCACTCCAGGCCCTTGTAAATAGTCACTCTCCATTTTTCCATCCGGCTGCCTTCAGGTACTGGAAGGCCACAATTAGGTCCCTTCAATGCCTTCTCTTTTCCAGGCTGAACAATCCCAATGCACTCAGCCTCTCTTCCTACTCAAAAACTGAGCCAGAAGCACTCAATTTATCCAAATCCCACAGGAATTTTGTGTTCAAAAAGCAACTGGATGTGACATTAGTGCTGTGGTCTAGTTGACAAGATGGTGATCAGTCAAAGGTTGACCTCAGTCCTCTTGTCCAATCTAAGGGGTTCTGCAAATCCACATCCCGGGAAGTCACAGAATCACTGCTGCTGGAAAAGACCTCCAGGACCATGCCCATAAATACATCCCTGTGTCCTGGTGTGCCAGTGCTCACCATGGAGACAAGAGGCAGGGGTGGCACTTTGCCATGGATGGTGGTGACCCCGTTTTCCATGACTCTGGGGCCTCCTGCCAGTGGCATCACGTGGCGACTCCACCTCCCAGAGCGAGAGCAGACTTTGGTCCTGTTGTCCTGGACACTCAGACCTTGCCCTGCTGAGCTGCAACAACTCTGACTCCGAAGCCTCTGGACACGGCACTGACAGCTCCAGGGACCCCACACTCTGCAGGTAAACTGGTGGAAAATGTGCATTCCCATTATTTTTTGGCAGATCCTCCTCAGCTGGCGCTGCAGGGGCAGCTGGGGCGAGTCCCTGTCCCTGGTGGAGGAGGTGACCCTGGATCCTGAGGGTTATAAAACCACGGCAGATGGGAAGCAGCTCCCACTGTGCCGTTCCAATGACTCATCCCTCCATCCTGGCAAATGTCACCCCCCCTGTTGTCACAGCAGAGATGCTGGACTTCACCTTGGCCAAAAAAAAAAAACCTGTAGGCTGGAATTTATTCCTGCTCCCAGAACCAGCCAAGGATCTTCACTCCCAAATCTTCCCCAAACTGGTTTTTGTCCACTCCCTGCACAGGAGTGACCACAGGGCTTTTCCAAGGCAGGAAAGTGCTGTCAGGAGGGAACCAAAGGATGGAGAGGGGCTGCAGCTGTGTCCAGTTCTGGCCCCTCAGTTTGGGGAGGACATTGAGACTCCAGAGGGGCCTGGAACACAAACCCTGTGAGGAACCACTGAGGGAGCTGGGGGTGCTCAGCCTGGAGAAAAGGAGACTCAGAGGTGACCTTATCACTCTCTACAACTCCTGAAAGATGGTTTTAGTATGATGGGGTTGGGCTCTTTCTCCAGGAACTGACAGAACCACAGTCTCAAGCTGCACCAAGGGAAATACAGGTTGGATATCAGGAAAAAGTTTTTTATGGAAAGAGTGATAAAGCTCTGGAATGGCTGCCCATTCCAGAGTCACCATCCCTGGGTGTGTTTACCAAAGCCCGGATGTGGCACTGGGGGCCAGGGTTGAGCTGAGGTGTTGGGGCTGGGCTGGACTCGATGGTCTTGAAGGTCTCTTCCAACCCAGTGATTTTGTTGGGTTGAATTCTGTTGGGTTGAATTCTGTTGGGTTGAATTCTGAGATTCTGTGATTGTGTGAATTCTGGGATTCTGTGATTCTGTGATTTGCACCCCGAATTTACCCACAGCCACCCTCCCAGCTGTGCCTGGAAGGGTTTGGGGTGGTGGCTCCTGTGCAGCCCTGTGGGTGACAGTGGTGTGAGGATCCAACCTTGCACCCATCACAGCTGGCATTGCTCCCTGGGAAACAACTGCTGCTTCCCATCTTTTTCATCCATGCCCACCTCATGCCTCCAGCCCATGCCAGTGGCTGGGAAGGATTGTGAGCTGCTCAGAGCAGGGTTGGGTCACTGGGAGTGGAGGGTTCATCGTGTCCCTTGGCAGATGGAGCTGTGGTGGGTGCTCCAGCATCTCCCTGCCTGCTCAGCCCGTGGCTGGTGGGACACAGAGGAAGATCCCTGGGGCAGGACACACCTGGAGCTCCTTATGCCAGCAGTGCAGCCATGCCAGCCACGCTGCAGCTTTTCTGCTGGCACATCCAGGAGTGAAGACACTGTGAGGAACCACAACCCCCATCCATGATTCCTGGATCAGAGCTTGAGGAGGGCTGGGAGGCTTTACAAGAATGACCCACGAGGACCTCAGCCCTTCCCTGCTGCTCTGGCAGTGCAGCTGAGCTCCTGCAGGAGCTGATGTTCCCCCGTGGTGTCCCCAGCTTGTCCCGCAGCCCCAGCCGTGCCCTTGGAGCCGCAGCCATGCGTGTAGCCGTCATCGGGGCCGGGGTGATCGGGCTCTCCAGCGCCCTGTGCATCCAGGAGCAGTTCCAGAGCCTGCTGCCCTCGCTGCAGCTGGAGATCTACGCCGACCGCTTCACCCCCCACACCACCAGCGACGGGGCAGCCGGGCTGTGGCAGCCCTACGTGAGTGACCGCGGCATCCTGCAGGAGACGTAAGGCAGCAGCAGCAGCAGGAGGATGAGGAGGATGAGGATGGTCCCTGTCCCTCTCCCCGTGTGCCATGAGCTGCTGTGGCACAGCTCCATGGGGCTGGCAGAGCCACCACTGTCCCATTCTCACCCCAGGCTCTGGAATAAAGAGACGTTCGATCACCTCCTCGGGCAGCTGCATTCCCCAGCAGCCAAGGACATGGGACTTTTCCTCATTTCTGGCTACAACCTGTTCAGGGAGCCACCGCCGGTAAGGAAGGAGCAGGTCACAGCCTGGGCTGGGGAGGGTCCCAGGGGCTGTGCTTCTTCCAGCCAGCCCTTCCCAATATTTCCACATTTGACTTGAGACGTGGTGTTTTCTGTGCTCCCGAAGCAATATTGGTGTGAGGATCCAATAGAGCCTGTCCAGCTGTGCTGGCAGCTGCACATCCAGCTGTGTCCCTCTGGGATGGGCTGTGTCCCATGGGAGGTGTCCCATGATCCCCCCAGGGCTCCTGTCCCACGGTGATCCCAGCTCATTGATGATCTCAGGACATTATTTCCCAGTTCATTGATGATCTCAGGACATTATTTCCCAGCTCATTAATGATTTCAGGACATTATTCCCGGCTCATTAATGATCTCAGCTCTTTCTCTTCAGGACCCATCCTGGAAGAACGTTGTCCTGGGATTCAGGCACTTGACACCAAAAGAACTTGAACTTTTCCCTGGTTACAGGTATTTTTCAGTTTGGTTTTTGGAGACTCAGGTAGGACAGTCCTGGATACCTCCTCAATACAGCCCTGTCAGGATGAAGTGGGACAAGGAACTGCAGATGTAGAAATTGTCCTCACTTCTTTAAAAATGCTTCCCTTCAAATAAGTAAGAAACAGCTCAAATAGCCAATAAAGCAGCAACCCAGCACAGATACCCTTCCAGCTCCTCTCTTACTGAGAGGAGCCAAATGCCAAAATAGGGGAGGAAAACCAGAAAGTGTTTTATGCTGTAAAGAGGGAGGGAAAATCATGCACTCATGTGAGGAGGGTCCCAGGGGGAATTGGGGCCCCAGACCCACAGTGTCTGTCAGGAATGCTGGGGCAGGAGGCTCCTGCAGGTGCTCACAGCCTCCTCTCCTCCTCTTTCAGCCATGGCTGGTTCAACACAGCGCTGATGCTGGAGGGCAGGAGTTACCTGCCCTGGCTCACCAACAGGTGAGTGCAGCTGCTCCTGCTTCCTCTGGCTGCAGGTGTGGATTTTCATCTTGCACATCAGGATAGGGTGGGTAGAGGTGCATCCCTGGGAAGAGGCTCTGGAATTCCTGTTCAATGCCCCAGTGGGGTAACACGTTAACAGTGAGCCCAGGAGTGCAATTTTTGCATGACAAAAATCAAAGTAATGGGATACTTGGAGCTGTATCCAAGTGCTTTTGGAAGAATTTGGGGTTTGATTTTATTCCTGTAATTTCTAATGCTGAGCAGGGGTCCTGGTATTGAACATTTCCTTTTAATTTGCCAGTAACAAATGAACTTTTGCTTCCCAGGCTGACACAGAGGGGAGTGAAGTTTTTCCATAAGAAGGTTGAGTCTTTCCAGGAGGTGAGTGGGGATGTGGAGCCAGGGCAGAGGGCACAGCCCCATCCCAGAGGGGAGAAGCAGCATCCAGCAGGCAGGGGCTGCTCTGGGATATTCCTTGGCATGAGTGATGGGACAGGGAACAGCAACAAGACTATGCCAAAATCCAGGAAATAAATTCTACCAGGAAAGATAAAAGGTTTTGGGTATTGAGGGATGGCTGACAGAGGATGGGGTAGAGCATTTATCCAGCATGGATTGGCAGCTTTCCCTGGAATGGCTTGGTGGCACACATGGGATGTCAGCAGGAGCTGGCTGGGGAAGAAGCTGTGCCCTGGATCTGCCCCTTATGCTTTATCCATTTCCTGACTGTTGGAAAGAGCACTTGGCTGGTTTGGAAGCAGGAATGTTGTGCCTCTGTGGAACATGATATCCCTGTGTGCTGCTCCCTCTCTCCTCAGCTGTTCTCCCAGGGTGTGGATGTGGTGCTGAACTGCAGTGGGATGCGCTCAGGGGACCTGCAGCCCGACCCAGAGCTGCAGCCTGGCCGGGGCCAGATCATCAGGGTGAGCTGGGGCAGGCCTGGGGCTCCCCAAAAACCCATCTGTACCCCGAGGAGTGGCTGGGGAGAACCACGGGCTTGTGGCTGGGTCCACACTGGGATCAGGCCCTGATTCCCAGCACA